TGGTGCCGGCTGCGCTGTGGCTGTGGTGCTGTCGGTGCCATTGGCTGAAAGTGATGCTTGAATGGATGTAGTCTCTTCAGCGGTCAATTCTGCTGGTGATGTAGGTTGCCCTTCACCAGAGGTGCCATGGGCTGGAGGGGTTGATGTTGGTACCATGGCTGGGGTGCTATGTTCGGACTTGTCTTCAACAACAGGACTGTGCTCTGTGATGGATGGCTGTGGTCCAGCATTCATCCGCTCATCATCCTGGTCAGGTTCTTGTTTGACTTCAAGGCACTTATCGTGACCTGGTAATGGCACTGCCGCCATGTGCTTGCTGTTTTCCATGGCAGCGTCACTGTCCTCACCATCAGCATCATGCATGACGGTGTCGTTTTCGCATGGCCGTTCAACTACCCGTTGCATGATTTCATCCAATGCCCGACAAATAGCAGACCTTAGTTATCATTTCACTGGCAAGTTTCAAGTTACCAGTTGTTTTCATGTTTGTCACTTGTCAACCCCCCCCCCCACAAACATAGATAAATAGAAACAAACGAACAAATGGATTTCATTACATTGAAATGATGTTCACTTCTACTTACGATGAATGATGACAGCCTGTTTTAATCCAGAAATATATTACTGTATATATTTAATAGTTTAAAGTAATGTGTTTGTTTGGACGAGGAACTTGGGATTGGTCTGTGCCATCAGTCCCGAGGTGTTGCGGTGCATAGAACTCATCAAACACACTGCAGCACGGATCGATACATTGTGTTTCTGGCTTGCTTTCTCGCACGTCAGTAGCCCATGTGGAAGGTACATCACATCATTTGGGATGAGATAAGTGAATCGCAAGGTCCTCTGGAGGTCCGGGTTGGCACCCACGGCAGCCTCATCCAAATCCCTGAACGCAATGACGCCCTCCTGGAATGTGCATAGTCATATAGTCACCATCCCACTGTTGTGTTTCATTTGTTTTACAATAATACTATAATTAGTATAAATATAATCTATGATGTATAATTTTTGGAAACGTGTTTTAATGTTTGTAGGCGTGTAGCTACTGTTGTTTACTTGATTTATTATTCATTCTTATTTGCCATTATGTGAACGATGATGATGGCTACTATACTACTAGCTATTCACTAGTCAAAGAACAGCAAGAAAACCACCACACAACACACAAACTGAAGCTGAAGTCCTCCAGAACAGTCTGAATGTTTGCGCCAGATTCAACACGACCACTCCCAGGCATCTCACCGTTCTCGTTGGCAAGCAGGACTGCATCATAAGAATTCAAAGATGCAATCAGCCGGTTTCCCTCCATTTGGTACATCAACACTCCCATGCCGTAAGGAGTGTGGCCCATGAAAATGCTTTTCTCCCTTGCAGCTGTGAGCATGATGCCCATGAATTTGTTCACTTCCTTGTCTGTCTTCTCACTCGACAAAGTCATTGATTTGGCATGATCGCGGATCCTTATATGACCAAGTAGACCAGGCACACAGGTTGAGCATATTCATATTTCACAACATTTGTTGCAACAAAAGACCGACAAACATCAAATAATAATGAATGAACTGGACAATATTTTTTGTTTGCTTTTGTGAAATAAGCCAAGACTGTTAAACCATTGAACTATCTTATGCAAGGTTCCTTTGACAAACCATCTCTCGATCCAAGACCACATCAAATTCGCCTCGAAGCTCTGGTGGCAAGTTCTGGTTCAGCCGATCCAGTGCAAGATGTACCAAGTGATCCATGCCAAGCTCCTCTACAGGGCCAGGTATTGTCAATGTCTTCCGGTTGGAATTCTGCTCAGGAGGGTTAGCCTCAAAGTACTGTGTGCATTCTTGACTGAAGCGTGTGACGTCAGCCACCAAGTTCTTGTGCATATGGTTCACGGCGGTGCTGGTTGTTCCAGGTGCAGCCTGACTCACAGTCAACAGTGACAGGCATCATGTGTATTGTTAAACTATGGAGGTATCCTGTATCCTTAGTTGTTAGTGTATTGTTAGTCTGTTAGTCTCTTAGCTGTTAGTCATGTATTTATCTGTATCGTTTTATCTAAGTATTTCAACATGTTGCTAGTAGTGCTAGTAGCTAGGTGGCTTGAATGTACAGTTTGAGAAGTTGTGGACTGGAGTCTGTGCCATCCGGTAGCCAGAACCAAACAAAAATGATATTAACTGAATCGGAGGCACTGCGA